GTACCGCAGAATGTTAAAAATCTCCTGGAAGGATAAGATAACTAACCAAGTTGTATTAGACAGGATGAACAAACAAAAGGAGGTCGTATTTAGTGTAAAATGAGGAAACTACAATACCTGGACATATTACACGTGGGAATAAATATCAACTGTTACAACTAATTATGCAAGGAAAGATTGAAGGTAGGCGCAGCATAGGTAGGAGAAGAATGTCATGGTTGAGAAATCTCAGGGAGTGGTTTGCTTGCACTTCCATACAATTGTTCCGAGCGGCAGCCTCCAGGGTCAAAATTGCCATGATGATAGCCAACCTTCGTAGCGGAGATGGCACGTGAAGAAGAAGACAAAAACTCTGTTGTTCATCTGCTAATCTTTTCCTCTGATTTATTAACACTTGTAAGCTTTGGCGTAGTATTTAACAAGTTTATACCTCTGTTACTTTTCTGGCTGTTTTTTGATCTCTATTTTTGGATAATAGAATTAGTTAGCTCGTTCTCCATTCTTCCGGTATTTTATTGTGTTTTAAAATACAGAAAGAAATTTGTCATACTAATCACCAACCTCAACATAGAAGGTACTTAGAGAAGGATAACAACAAAAATATATTTTCAGCTCGGTATGGCATACTGCATGTCAGTGGTTAAGAGTGAAATAAATTATTTGAAGTTGAATTATTATCCCACGGTGACCCTTTTTAGTTTTTTAAACGTCATTGTCAGTTTTACAATTCGATCCAATTTTTTAAATGGCCCATGAAGTACGTTAAGTTTTTATTAAGCTTATAGCACAGAATACACCACCCAACAACAAGCGAAACGAAGGGCTTTTTCGTAATCCCAATTTCTGTGACAATCCGCCATGTTCTAAATAGTTTATCTGATCGGTATATTAACACTGGACTTTAGTTTATTAGTGATTTTTTTAGAGTCTTTAGAGACCGTGCCGGTCTCAGCTTGCGTAGAGGAGGGACTTTGAATTCAGTAGGAGCCTCTCAATACTTTACGTAAGACAGACTGGCCGGGGGATGTCCTCAACCCGACACGGCGCGTCCCAATGGCTGATAGGGAATGTTCCTGCAGATATGCAGGGCAGGTAGGAATAAGACTTAGCCAAATAAGTACCCGCGGATCAACTGAGGGCATGGCATTAGGCAGCAATGATGCCATTACTGAATCAAGGCTGTTAGAACGACATCCAGTAGGTTTGACGACAGACACACACAGGCGGCAATCCCATAATGATTTAACTGGCTGTGATACTGCGGTGCAGAAAGCAATGGGAAACCACTGCACTAAATCTCCCAAGAAAAGCTCCATGACAAATACAAATCATACTACGGCCCCGAGTCTCCGTCGTCCCTTTAATGGGACAGGGGTGCTAAGAATCTCCGGAGGAAAAAATAAAAATAAAAATAGATCATTAATAAAACATATTGCTACGTGGAATGTTAGAACTGTATATCAATCAGAAAAGCTAAAAAATGTACAACTCGAAATGAAACGGCTGGGCCTGCAAGTCCTTGGATTTAGCGAAGCTAGATGGACCGGATGGGGAACTGTAAAAAGTGGAGGTTTAATTACTTATTACTTTGGAAAAACGGATGATGTTCATAAAAATGGTGTTGCTATAATTCTTGAGGAACGACTTGAAAATCTGGTTGACAACTTTGTTCCTCTTTCAGAGCGAATAATGATGATAACTAATAAAAGTAAGATTATTATAAACTTAATACAAGTATACGCTCCTACAAGTAACAGTACAGACAACGAAATTAATGAATTTTACCATGTATTAAAGCAAGCACTAAATAACACAAAAAACACGAAATTTGTGTAATAATTGGAGACTTCAACGCTCAAGTAGGAGAAGACATAACTCCCGGAATTACTGGAGGATTCGGTCTTGGGGAAAGAAACGAAAGAGGTGATACATTGGTGGAGTTCTGCCAAGAGAAAACTTTGTTATCACCAACACATGTTTTAAACAACCAAAAAGACGTCTCTATACATGGATATCACCGAGAGATGACCATGGTAGTGTAATGCGTAACCAAATAGATTATATCATGGTTAACAATAGATTTCGAAACTCATGTAAATGTACTAAGACATATCCGAGTGCTGACGCAGCCACCGATCACAATTTACTGGCATCTAGAATCAACCTAAAATTAAAGACAATCAAAAAGCCTTCCATTACAAAGAAATACGATAGACAAAAACTAAAAGAAGAAGAATTTAAACATCACTTTGAACAGACAATGAACGAAAAAATTCGAGACAACATCACACAAGTATACAATGTACCAACAGTCGAAGAAAGATGGGATAACATAAAGAATGGTATCATCGATACAGCAACGCAAAGTGGAACTGTCACCCATTATAAAAAGCAAGTATGGATGACAGATGAAATAATCGAAATGATGGACGAAAGAAGACAGCTTAGAAATAGAAATAACTCAGAGTATAAACGAAAGCATAATCTGATTCGAAGAAAAATCAGGGAAGCCAAAGAGTTATGGATGCGAGCAAAATGTGAGGAACTTAGAAGAATTGCAACGAAAACATGACGAATTTAACACACATAAGAAAATAAAAGAAGTTACAGTACACAAAAGAAATACACCCATAACATGAACGAATAATGAAGGTCATGCACTATCCCTAGAAGACGAAGTAATGGAGGAATGGGAAAACTACATTAAAGCATTATTTAAGGATGATCGAGGATCACTACCTAACTTAAGTGCAAATACAGGACCATCAATCTTAAAAGCTGAAGTGGAAAAAGCCATACACCAAGCCAAAAACAACAAAGCCAGTGGACCAGATCAAATATACAGCGAATGGCTAAAATTACTCTCAAATGACAATATAAAAGAACTAACTGTACTTTTCAATCAAATATATAATACCAGTGAAATTTCATCGGACTGGTTAAAATCGATCTTTATTCCTCTACCTAAGAAACCAAACGTTAAGAAATGTAGCGATTGTAGACTCATTAGTTTAATGAGCCATGCCGTTAAAATACTGTTGTATATTCTTCTAAACGAATTAACAACAAGTGCGAAGAAATAATTAGTCAACAGCAGTTCGGGTTCCGAAGATGCCTTGGAACTAGAGAAGCACTATCTAAGAAAACTAAAACCAGACTAATTACCGCCTTGCAGAGCATCCAACTAGATGAGAAAGACATCAAACTTATTGCCAAACTTTACTGGAACCAAACAGCCATTATTAATACCAACAACAGAGAATCAAAGCCAATCAAGACAAGGCTGAATACTATCTCCCACCCTCTTTACCGTGTATTCTGAGAATCTATTTAGGGAAGCTTTAAAAGATCAAAAACGAATTATCATAGGAGGAGAAATAATTAACAATATACGGTACGCCGACGATACTGTGATTCTAGCTGAAAACATCGACGATCTGCAGGAGCTAATCAATAGAGTTGACATGGAATGCACAAATTGGGGACTGTCGATAAATATCGATAAAACTAAATATATGGTGACCAGTAAAGTGATATCGGCGCAACCCAACTGATATTAAACCAACAAACGCTGCAGAGAGTTCAGAGATTCAAATACCTTGGATGTTGGACTACCCAAAATCTAGATCCATCCTTCGAAATTCGATGTAGAATTGAACAGGCAAGAAACTCATTTCAAATATTCAAGCCTCTATTATCCAATAACTCATTAAATTTGGAAATCCGTGAAAAGTTTACAAGATGTTACGTGTAGTCTATACTTTTGTATGGATGTGAAACTTGGACTTTAAACGCCGATATCATGAATAAAATCGAGGCGTTTGAGATGTGGTTGTATCGAAGGATACTAAAAATTCCATGGACAAGCAGAACCAGAAACGAAGAAGTTCTTCGAAGAATGGGACATCAACGAACTCTATTAAATATTATTAAGAGGCGTAAACTAGAATATCTTGGACATATAATCAGAGGACCAAGATATGAGTTCCTTCGGCTAATTCTCAACGGTAAAATCGAAGGAAAGAAATGGATAGGACGGAAGAAACTCTCTTGGTTGAGGAATTTTCGGCAGTGGACAGGTTTGACAGCGGACCAATTGCTACACGTAGAGCAAGACCAAGATCGATATAACAATATTATAAGCATGGTAGTCGCCGACGTTCCGTAGGGATATGGCACTTTAAGAAGAAGAGACTAGAGTCTTTTCAACAAGTGGTGGGTAACAATCTCGTTTACAGCGTTTTCGTATGGCTCTTTCTTTTTCCTCCTAAACGTCGTTTTTTCTTCCCGTCTAAGATTTTCATAGTCTTCCAGGTTTGATCTCGTTCGGCGCTGCTGAAGTCTCTTATATGCTTCATTTGTTTGTTAGTTAGTGGATCTACATTCTTCGTCAAACCAATTTTCATTTATTTTAGCCTTAGGCTAAAAGATTAGGTTTTAAAAAACCTTTAGTCGTTGTATGGATAGCTTCCTTGCATTTGGTCCAGTGTTCTTCTATACCTAAATTTTCGTTGATTCTTGTCAGCTCTTCATTTAAAATTTTTCTGTAGTTATCCCTAGCATCTTCAGATTTTAGCACATCAGTACTATTTTGCGTAGATTTTGTGCTCTGGCCCGTCTTAGCGTTTGTATATACGAGCACTGAGTTTTTGTTCTTACAAGGTAGTGGTCAGAGTCTATATTAGCACCTTATATCAATAATAAGTATAATTAATAGTAAAAAAAGAATAATACTGAGAAGGAAACGTTAGTTTTAATGATTACTTCGTACTCAGTGTAAGTGTAATTTTACTACAGTTTTAAACGACTTTCTTATGATTTTTCTTAGTGTACCAAGTAGTTTAAGTGTCATTGTCACTCAGAAATTTCTGTCCTACTAACATCAAAGGTACCGACAAAGCTTTCGCTTCTTGTTGGGTGGTGTATTCTGTAGTTATAGGAAAACTGATCTACCGACTGATATTATTTTATAATTTTAATTATTTGTTTCTCTTTTTCAGAGGAAACCTGCTGAACTTGAAGTATTTTATTCTTGTGTTAATATGTATTACAATATTGGTATGTGTATATCAACAAGACAATATATTTTCTCGAATCGAAATTGTCGAAAATCAAGTTGTAGTGGAGAAAACAGTTGACGTAGGAGTATTTACTATAAATACCCCTGGCTGTAAAATACCATATTTTCAAGCTTTTGATAAAAATATTTTGGATTATTTAGAGCAACCAGGAAAACATGTTTGTAATGACGGTATACCAGCGTTATTTGAATCAGACAGAAAATCTATAAGAATAATAGAAGATTCATTACCCTTCTATAATGTGACTAATATAAATAATTTGACATGTTGTTACAAAACGTTTTGGAGGATAGATCCTGATGATGATGCTGCAGACAATAAAATAAGCTACAGTAAAGACTGCCAGACATTTATTAATAAAACTGACATTAAGGAAGAATTTATAAAAGTTACATGCAGCTACAACAACAGTGACATTTATCACGATATGTTTCTTTTCGTTCCTATAAAAAATCTGACAGACGTAACAAAAGATCTTGATAAAAACGATTCCTATTTAAATATTCTAGTGATAGGCTTAGATTCTATTTCTAGATTAAATTTTCATAGACAGATGCCAAAATCACTAAATTATTTGAAACAAATTGGGGCCGTTGAAATGATAGGATATAATAAAATTGGAGAAAATACGTTTCCGAATGTATTAGCCGCATTAGCCGGCAAACATATAGAGGAAATCCAGAAGGATTGCTGGCCAACTGATAATCACCACTTTGATAATTGTTCGTTCGTATGGAAGAGCTACAGCCAAAAAGGTAATATTATTTTTGAAAATAACAAGTGATATTTACTCTTTTATTTGTTTCTTCTTATTCGCATTAATATTCATCATTTGTTGCATATTTTGTTTCTTCGTTGATCGAAACTGAAAGCCTTAAGGCTGCACGTGGACTGTTTATTGCATCAATGCAATAAACATCCACGTTCACAATGCATAGTTTAAAAAAAATGAGAAAAAACGTGTCATTTAGTCATAGTTGAAATTCTGTGAATATTCTTATTTTAATGAAATCGTAGGCTTCCACGGCCAGAGTCAGAATTATAGTTTATTTCGTCTTCCGGGTTTGGACCGTGTCATTTGTGAGTGACCCAAAAGTGGGTTCATACTCGACGTTTCGCTACAATTGTATGTAAGCTTCTTCAGGAGAACAAAGAAAAAGAAAAAAGAAAACAAAAGAACAGGAAGATGGTTAGTTAGCAACGGTAACTCCGTTACTCAACGCAACCAGAGGCGAATACTAACTACCAAGATGGGCATTTGGTCACAGTAACTCAACTACTCAACGCAGCCAAGGTGAAAACCAAATGCCAGGACAGGATTCACATCTGAGCTGTTGGACGTGAATCCTGTCCTGGCATTTGGTTTTCACCTCTGGCTGCGTTGAGTAGTTGAGTTACTGTGACCAAATGCCCATCTTGGTAGTTAGTATTCGCCTCTGTTGCGTTGAGTAACTGAGTTACCGTTTGCTAACTACCCATCTTCCTGTTCTTTTGTTTTCTTTTTTCTTTTTCTTTGTTCTCCTGAAGAAGCTACATACAATTGTAGCGAAAACGTCGAGATGAACCCACTTTTGGTCACTCACAAATAACACGGTCCAAACCCGGAAGACGAATAAAACTATAATTCTTATTTTACATTTGTAATATAATCAAAAACTCATCTTTTCTAACAATATATGTCAGGGAGAGGCTTGTTCCTTGGGCAGGATTTGTTTAATCAGGTATTACAAATACAATATTAAAGTTATATTTTTTAAATTTACACTTTAGTAGGTATAAACTATTGTATGTAAAATAAAAATAACAACTGATCACATGAGTTGGTTTTTCTCAAAAGAAAAAAAATCCTGAACGCCTACAATTAGCCCATGATACAATACGTATACCTTGGTCCACCAAAGGTTGTACCTTGGGCCACTGGTAAACATAATAACCATAACTTTTATTTTAATAATTAGCAGACACATTTGAAGTTACATAGGAACAAAATCCTTTATTATTTATTTTATTAACTTTTGTTTAGAACAAGGACCATTTTATGCAAAATGGTCATAAGCAAATGGTTTAAACATAAGAACAAACAATTTAAATAACGTAAACTTATCTCAACAAAATACTTTTCAAAATCCAAGTTAAAAGTATAAAAATCCTGTTGACGTTTTGAAGATCCATGTTTCTTGGGAACTTCCACGACGCTTTCAATGATGTCTTCCTTTTCCATTTCATATGGCTTTATATCAATCCACGATACACTTACAAAGCATATAAGAGACTTCAGCAGCGCATAACGAGATCAAACCTAGAAGGCTATTGAAAATCTTAGACGAGAAGAAAAAAGGACGTTTAGAAGGAAAAAGAAAGAGCCATACGAAAATGCTCTAAACGAGATAAACAACAACAGAAAAGACTCGCGAAAATTCTACCAGAAGATAAACAGCTGCAGAAAAGATTTCAAACCCAGAATTACAACATGTAAAGACAAAGATGATTCCATAATTAGTGACAAAGAACAGATACTAAACAGGTGGGCGAATCATTTTGAAGAACTGCTTAGCGACAGTCGTAAAGAAGACCAAATAGAAATTACTTTGCCTGAAATGGATGAAAACGCTTAACCCTCCACTGCATGAATTATTGCAAACATGAAATAAAAAATATTTTTATGTATTGTGATTTTTATTAAGGTATATAAAAGGCATTAGTACATTTAAAATAACTGTTTAGGCCTATATATAGAAGTTTTTTTGCAAACCCATATATGGTTTCATATGCAAGAACTACAAACTGGTAGATTTTTTGAAAATCCATATGTGGTTTCACATGCATTATAAGAACATATTTTAATAAAAAGTTAACATACAAAAATACGTTAGTTATAAAATTGTGATAGACAATTCCTTTTTTCATTATAACATAAAAATACTTTACACTTTATACATTTGGTGTAAGTTTTTTTTGTACATATTTGACACTGTTGGCGATATTTTTGCCATTCTGGCATATGTCCAATGTTGTCCGTACGCACAGAATTTAACGGTATCTCTTGATGTCTTGCAGGAGTTTTTCTTGTTCTTTTTGTTGGTGTTGGGTTTGTTCCATTGGTTAAGACAGGTGGAGTTCCTTGACGACTAGACGTTGGAGTTCCTTGATGACTAGATGTTGGAGTCCCATTTTGTCCTACTGGACGACCTCTCTTTCTTGGTAGTGACTTCCCAAATTTACATAAATGTTCAGAAACGGCTTGTTTGAAGTCAAATAATGGCATATAGCAATTTTGTTCATTTTTTCTACGCCAGAGTATCCATGCGTTTACAACACATAGATCCAACATATGAAAAAAAATTCGTTTATACCATTTTCTTGATCTTAGATGGATTCTGTAAAGCCCCAGCATCGAGTCTAATAAGTCCACTCCTCCATCAGCTGATTATAAACTTCAACAGCTTGAGGGCATGGAATCTCTTTGTACGTTTTTTCTTTTCGGAAGTACCTACGTTTTGTGGTTCTAGGTTCACTACCAACGTAAGTTGATAACATATTTACTGGCTTATTATCGAACCAAGTTATTAAACTTATGTTTACGTCTTCAACAAGGGCAACTTTTTCTACAATGAAACCACGTTCTTTTTTCTTTAGTTCTTTTTCGGATGGGATTCCTGAATTTGAAACACGGTTTAATCGAACCGTACCTAAAGGTAACAATCCATTTTTTGTAAGATAAATCTGTAATTTTGGACTATTAAACCAGTTATCGAAAAATATTTTATGATTAACGTTCTTCGGCACTGTCTCTGTCAGTCTAGTGACAACATTTCCACTGACTCCTAAATCAGGCGCTCTATTTGGAAAAGTATTGCTTTGTTCACCAGCAAAAATATCAAAGTCATAACTAAAACCTGATACACCACTAAGTACTTGATTTTTGTATCCCCACTTGTGAGGTTTTGCCGGATTATATTGTTTGAGGTGGTGGCGGCATTTCGTAGGGATAATTTGTTCGTCAACAGCTAGATGTTCCTCCTTGGGAACCAGTAAAAGCCGTTGTTTAATCTTGTCTAATAGAGGTCGAATTTTGAACAATTTATCATGGCCTGGATTACCAACGGGAACGGAGTTACTATTATCACTAAAATGAAGGTGTTTCTTTATAATTTCCCATCTATTGCAGGTCATAGATTCAAATACTTGTGGTTGACCTAGAGTTGCATTCCAGTAAAGTCTCGATGATGGTAATTTCACCAATGACATAAATATTACAGTTCCTATGAATTGCTCCATTTCGTTTTCGGTAATATTGGCAGGTTTGTTTATGTTATCCTGCAGAGCTTTTATGTTTGATTGTTCAACAATCATGGATATTAATTCTTTTGGAAACAAAAACAAGAAAAAATCTGCAGGAGTTTCTAACTCAAGGATACATTCTGGTAGATCTACAACGCCTTTAAATGCATAATCACTTTTATTAAAATGCTTCAAATGGCCTGACTCCCATAAATTTTTTTCAGGTTTCTTTTTTTTGTTGACAATTCTATTTATACCAGAGCAAGTAGGTATATTTTCATCCAAATTCCTTTGTTCATTGTTGTTACTATCATCGGACTGGGACTGACGACATCGAGAAATATATTCATTATCGGAATCTGAACCTAATTCGTCTTCACTTAGTTCTCCATTCAAAGGAATATACTCATTATCTGAATCTAATCCTACATCGTCTTCACTTAGTTCTCCATCACCAGGAATACAGTTAACGTATTTAGACGAGCCATAAACCTTCCCAGGATCCATTCTGAAAACAAAAATCAAATGATAATTTTTCTAAAAACGGTATAACTAAAATAACATTGAATGCATTCGAAACCATCTATGGATTTTACGGATTTATATCAATTTAGACGGAATGCATACGAAACCATATATGTTTGATAATAAATGACATCATAAAGCTAGATAATAATGTGAAATTCGATGTAGAAAAATATTTATATAATAAAAAATAATACTTACTTTCTCCAAAAAATTTTTTCCAACAAATAAATTCACTATTTCGATAAAAAATATTGCTTCAAACTGGTGTCATACATAAGATACCGTTCACTCACTACACGTGTATAAACGAATGAGGTTATAACGATCTTTCTCTTGACTGGTAGACAACCAAACATACAAATGTATAGTAAAATGAGTACTAGCTATGATGCAGTCATATGGATGGGTGGTGGATATTATGCATACTACAACACTTTGAAATTTTTAAACCATAAATGGTTTTGTATGCGGTAGAGGGTTAAGAGCCGCCCCCCACCGAAGAAGAAATTAGAGAAGCCATTTCAAAACTAAAAAATAACAAAACCCCTGTTTTGGACAATCTTCCTGCCGAACTCTTTAAAAATGGTGGTGACAAAAGCCACATATGACTCAGTCAACAGACAAAAAACTTCTACAGTCTATGATGGAATTTCAAATCCCACTTCATCTTGTTCAACTGACGAAATTCAGACTCACAGGAGTAGAGAGTGTAGTCAGAATCCAAATCGACTTTCAATACCCTTTCATTGTAAAAATGAACTGAGACAGGGAGATGGACTATCGTGTCTCTTATTTAATCTTGCACTAAAAAAGTAATTCGAGAGTACCATATTAATACGAATAGCACCATCTTTAATAAATCTGTACAAGTGGTCGGATATGCAGATGACATAGACATTATTGCGAGGTCCACAGAATCTCTGATCGAAGCATTTCGATTATTGAT